TTCGAAGCTGTTTTACCGGCATCAGCAGCAGCAGCCGCCGCCACCAGTTCTGCGAGCAGCCGCAGGCAACAGAATCTGTCGACAAATGCTGTTTTTCTAGATTTCCAGACGACACGTTAGGGAGTTTTTTCGCGTGGTTTTGGACCTTGCTCGTCCTTCCGAGCCATGGTGTTTTGCTGCCGGGAGCTGCTTTTTTCGAAGCTGTTTTACCGGCATCAGCAGCAGCAGCCGCCGCCACCAGTTCTGCGAGCAGCCGCAGGCAACGCAGGCAACAGAATCTTTCGACCTTGCTCGTCCTTCAGAGCCATGGTGTTTTGCTGCCGGGGGCTGCTTTTTTCGAAGCTGTTTTACCGGCATCAGCAGCAGCAGCCGCAGGCAACAGAATCTCTCGACAAATGCTGTTTTTCTAGATTTTTCTAGATTTCCAGACGACACGTTAGGGAGTTTTTTCGCGTGGTTTTGGACCTTGCTCGTCCTTCCGAGCCATGGTGTTTTGCTGCCGGGAGCTGCTTTTTTCGAAGCTGTTTTACCGGCATCAGCAGCAGCAGCCGCCGCCACCAGTTCTGCGAGCAGCCGCAGGTAACAGAATCTTTCGACCTTGCTCGTCCTTCAGAGCTATGGTGTTTTGCTGCCGGGGGCTGCTTTTTTCGAAGCTGTTTTACCGGCATCAGCAGCAGCAACCGTCGCCACCAGTCCTGCGAGCAGCCGCAGGCAACAGAATCTCTTGACAATCTCTCGACAATGTGCTGTTTTTCTAGGATTTCAGACGACACGTTAGGGAGTTTTTTGGCGTGGTTCTGGACCTTGCTCGTCCTTCAGAGCCATGGTGTTTTGCTGCCGGGAGCTGCTTTTTTCGAAGCTGTTTTACCGGCATCAGCAGCAGCAGCCGCCGCCACCAGTTCTGCGAGCAGCCGCAGGCAACAGAATCTGTCGACAAATGCTGTTTTTCTAGATTTCCAGACGACACGTTAGGGAGTTTTTTGGCGTGGTTCTGGACCTTGCTCGTCCTTCAGAGCCATGGTGTTTTGCTGCCGGGAGCTGCTTTTTTCGAAGCTGGTTTACTGGCATCAGCAGCAGCAGCCGCCGCCACCAGTCGTGCGAGCAGCCGTAGGCGACAGAATCTCTCGACAATCGACAAATGCTGTTTTTCTATGCTGTTTCTATGCTGTTTCTATGCTGTTTTTTTGCTGTTTTTCTAGCACATTTTTTCTAGCATTTCAGACGACACGTTTGGGAGGTTTTTTGGCGTGGTTCTGGAACTTGCTCGTCCTTCGGAGCCATGGTGTTTTGCTGCCGGGAGCTGCTTTTTTCGAAGCTATTGTACCGGCATCAGCAGCAGCAGCCGCCACCTGCGAGCAGCTGCAGGCGACAGACTCTCTCGAAAAAAGCTGTTTTTCCAGGATTTCAAACGACATCAGCAGCAGCAGCCGCCGCCACCAGTTCTGCGAGCAGCCGCAGGCAACAGAATCTGTCGACAAATGCTGTTTTTCTAGATTTCCAGACGACACGTTAGGGAGTTTTTTCGCGTGGTTTTGGACCTTGCTCGTCCTTCCGAGCCATGGTGTTTTGCTGCCGGGAGCTGCTTTTTTCGAAGCTGTTTTACCGGCATCAGCAGCAGCAGCCGCCGCCACCAGTTCTGCGAGCAGCCGCAGGCAACAGAATCTGTCGACAAATGCTGTTTTTCTAGATTTCCAGACGACACGTTAGGGAGTTTTTTCGCGTGGTTTTGGACCTTGCTCGTCCTTCCGAGCCATGGTGTTTTGCTGCCGGGAGCTGCTTTTTTCGAAGCTGTTTTACCGGCATCAGCAGCAGCAGCCGCCGCCACCAGTTCTGCGAGCAGCCGCAGGCAACGCAGGCAACAGAATCTTTCGACCTTGCTCGTCCTTCAGAGCCATGGTGTTTTGCTGCCGGGGGCTGCTTTTTTCGAAGCTGTTTTACCGGCATCAGCAGCAGCAGCCGCAGGCAACAGAATCTCTCGACAAATGCTGTTTTTCTAGATTTTTCTAGATTTCCAGACGACACGTTAGGGAGTTTTTTCGCGTGGTTTTGGACCTTGCTCGTCCTTCCGAGCCATGGTGTTTTGCTGCCGGGAGCTGCTTTTTTCGAAGCTGTTTTACCGGCATCAGCAGCAGCAGCCGCCGCCACCAGTTCTGCGAGCAGCCGCAGGTAACAGAATCTTTCGACCTTGCTCGTCCTTCAGAGCTATGGTGTTTTGCTGCCGGGGGCTGCTTTTTTCGAAGCTGTTTTACCGGCATCAGCAGCAGCAACCGTCGCCACCAGTCCTGCGAGCAGCCGCAGGCAACAGAATCTCTTGACAATCTCTCGACAATGTGCTGTTTTTCTAGGATTTCAGACGACACGTTAGGGAGTTTTTTGGCGTGGTTCTGGACCTTGCTCGTCCTTCAGAGCCATGGTGTTTTGCTGCCGGGAGCTGCTTTTTTCGAAGCTGTTTTACCGGCATCAGCAGCAGCAGCAGCCGCCGCCACCAGTTCTGCGAGCAGCCGCAGGCAACAGAATCTGTCGACAAATGCTGTTTTTCTAGATTTCCAGACGACACGTTAGGGAGTTTTTTCGCGTGGTTTTGGACCTTGCTCGTCCTTCCGAGCCATGGTGTTTTGCTGCCGGGAGCTGCTTTTTTCGAAGCTGTTTTACCGGCATCAGCAGCAGCAGCCGCCGCCACCAGTTCTGCGAGCAGCAGGCAACGCAGGCAACAGAATCTTTCGACCTTGCTCGTCCTTCAGAGCCATGGTGTTTTGCTGCCGGGGGCTGCTTTTTTCGAAGCTGTTTTACCGGCATCAGCAGCAGCAGCCGCAGGCAACAGAATCTCTCGACAAATGCTGTTTTTCTAGATTTTTCTAGATTTCCAGACGACACGTTAGGGAGTTTTTTCGCGTGGTTTTGGACCTTGCTCGTCCTTCCGAGCCATGGTGTTTTGCTGCCGGGAGCTGCTTTTTTCGAAGCTGTTTTACCGGCATCAGCAGCAGCAGCCGCCGCCACCAGTTCTGCGAGCAGCCGCAGGTAACAGAATCTTTCGACCTTGCTCGTCCTTCAGAGCTATGGTGTTTTGCTGCCGGGGGCTGCTTTTTTCGAAGCTGTTTTACCGGCATCAGCAGCAGCAACCGTCGCCACCAGTCCTGCGAGCAGCCGCAGGCAACAGAATCTCTTGACAATCTCTCGACAATGTGCTGTTTTTCTAGGATTTCAGACGACACGTTAGGGAGTTTTTTGGCGTGGTTCTGGACCTTGCTCGTCCTTCAGAGCCATGGTGTTTTGCTGCCGGGAGCTGCTTTTTTCGAAGCTGGTTTACTGGCATCAGCAGCAGCAGCAGCCGCCGCCACCAGTCGTGCGAGCAGCCGTAGGCGACAGAATCTCTCGACAATCGACAAATGCTGTTTTTCTATGCTGTTTCTATGCTGTTTTTTTGCTGTTTTTCTAGCACATTTTTTCTAGCATTTCAGACGACACGTTTGGGAGGTTTTTTGGCGTGGTTCTGGAACTTGCTCGTCCTTCGGAGCCATGGTGTTTTGCTGCCGGGAGCTGCTTTTTTCGAAGCTATTGTACCGGCATCAGCAGCAGCAGCCGCCACCTGCGAGCAGCTGCAGGCGACAGACTCTCTCGAAAAAAGCTGTTTTTCCAGGATTTCAGACGACACGTTAGGCAGTTTTTTAGCGTGGTTCTAAAACTTGCTCGTTCTTTAGAGCCATGGTTTTTTGCTGCCGGGAGCTGCCGGCAGGTGCTTTTTTCGAAGCTATTTTCCTGCGAGTAGCTGCAGGCAACAGAATCTCTCGACAAATGCTGTTTTTCTATAGAATTTTCTCTAGAATTTCAGACGACCGGTTAGGGAGTTTTTTGGCGTGGTTCTGGAACTTGCTCGTGTTTCAGAGCCATAGTGTTTTGTTGCCGGGAACTGCTTTTTTCGAAGCTGGTTGACCGGCATCCGCAGCAGCAGCAGCCGAATACAATGACAGTACATTTACATTACACCAAATTACACTACATAACTTTACATTGCAAGGTACATACCAGCCAAAGTCCATCAAACTGCGCGGACAAAACCATGGTAAGAATGTCCAAGCGTTATGTCTGGGTTCCATTTAGTATTTCCTTCAAACCTTATTAGAGTGTCGTCTAGGGTCTCTTTAGGATGCATTTAAAGTTTCATTCAAATGGTTTCTTTAGGTCAATTTCTGGTTTCTTTAGGGTTCATTTCATTTAGGATCCAAACAGAAGAGAATAAAACAAAAGAATTAGAATTTCATGCCGAGCTTCTCTGGGATTCACTCGGGCTTCGCGTTTCTTAAAGATTTACATCTCTTAAAAGTTTTCTTTCGAGTTTCTTTAAGGTTTCTGTCGAATTTCATGCAGGGTTTGCTTTAGGAATTCTTTCAGGTCTTCCGGGGTCGGCGGCAGGGGCGGCAGCCCTTAAATAATTGTTATTTCATTAAATGTGCATTTATATATTATCATTTCCCTGCTCACGAGCACATAACGGCCCTGTAAGCGAGATATAAACAAATGATATATATCATCCAACATATATTTTTTACAAAATAATAGGGGAACACCTAGGGAAAATATTTAGCAAACTTCGCCCGCGCAGGTGCTGATGAGCTGGCGACCGGTCACTGCCATCCAGGGGAGTGGGATTATGGCGGCATAATATATAACATATATATTATATAAATATATAGTATATACCCATACTTAGCTCATATACTAAGTCCGCTAAGTTTGATATAGCTAAGTGAGCTAACTAGATAGTATCTATAGCTAACTACTTAGTATATAACCTATCTAGTTATTAACCAACATGAGCCTTCAAGTATATAGCTTGGTGAACTTACGAAAAAAATACAAGGATCCCAAACAAGGAGACAAAGTGAAAGTGGTCTAGTCCAGTGCAAGCGATCTTTCAAATGCGGATGCCATAACAACCAGCCCATGGCAACAGCTGGCTAAAGACAAAACATGACTAAAACATATTAAAACCACTGGCAAGCCTCGCATCTTGCAAACTCTGGTTGAACTCTTCCCCAAAAGTCAAGCTTCTCAGGGTGCAGGGCCAAGAAACTCGTTCCAAGCTCTGGTTGAAGGCAGCCCCGAAAGTCAAGGTTTGGAGGTTACTTGGCCAGGTCATTTTATCCAAGTTTTGATCAAACAGCTCGCCAAAGGTCAAGTTTTGAAGGCCACGGGGCCAAGGAAATTCATCCAGGTTTTGGTTGAAGCCCGCGCCAAATGTCAAGTTCATGAGTCCGTCTGGCAGGGTCACGCCCTGAAAGCTCTGAACGAATCCGCCGCCTAGAGTCAAAGTTTGAAGGCTGCTAGGCAGGGTCACGTTCTGAAGGCGGCAGTTAAAGCCACGGCCAAACGTCAAACTGCAGAGGCCACACGGAAAAGTCACATGCTCCAAGGTCTGATTGAAGTCTTTGCCAAAAGTCAAGCTGTGAAGCTCATTTGGCAGGCTGATGTCTAGTCTCCGATTGAAGCGCGCCCCAAAGGTCAGAGTCTCCAGGGTAGATGGCAGTATCACATGCTCCAGGCTTCGATCAAATTCATGGCCCAGGGTCAAATGTCGAAGTCCTCGGGGCAAATGTCGCAAGCAATTCTCCGCCCTGACGCCTGTCAGTGTGGTAAGCCCCTCAAGCGCAAATTGGCTCTGAATTTCTGCCCTCCTCACGGTGTCAGAGTTCCAAATGCCACCCGTATTCAATATTGTCCCCTGCAGAAAATCCATGGCAGAGCGAAGATCCATGGCCACGTACACGCAGCAGAGCTGGGTGGCATTCACCACGCCCTGCTCTCCCAGACTTTGCTCCAACAGCAGCTTGGAAGCCGTGTGATGGATGCACACCTGGCTGCCCACGGTTGCCAGTGCCACTGGTGTCTCTGTAGCTATGGATTTATTTGAAAGTAAGGCGTTCAACCAAGATCTCAGGTGTCTCATCATGCTTTCCACACACTCTCCCTCCCTATTGCCAACTCATCACATTTTCAGCTGAACTTATAATTTTATTGGTGGTTGTCATCAATCATTGTCACCCATCTGCTGAATTCTACCCACTGGATTATAATCATTATAATAATTAATTCTCTCTACCAAGACAACTATAAATTCAGGTGCACAAAGGTGCATATCATATCATTTGTATACATGTAATAATATATATATATATATATGTTGGTTATATTATGTAATGTGATATATCTATGTACCTGAATTATCCAGACACAGTAAAATATGCCCATTATATATTGTACCGTACCATTTTTCATGGCTTGTCATCCCCCACAAAAAATAGAAAACACATAAACACATTTCCAGAATGGTATATGATGTTTTTCTCCTTCATTTTTCAGGAATCTCACCAACCCCCATCAAATTCCATTAGATTCCCATTAACCCACACTAAAGTCCATGCAATCCAGTCCATAAATTCCACCAAATGCATCCAAATGCCACTAAACCCCATGAACACTCCACTAAGAATCAACCTAAATCCCAATGAAATACCCTCCAAAATTCGCACAAAAAAATCAACGACACACCCACCTTGGCGCCAGCCTTACATGGCATTCTCTCCCGCACCAAGCTGTAGAGCTCGTGCCCCATGGTGCCACTTGGAAGGCGAAAATGGAGCTCGTCACCCTGGAGGCTTTGCACCTCGAATCGGGACTGGGATGGGGATCGAATCTCAGGGGGGCTTCACCAAGGAAAAATTGTGGGAGTTGACCCACAAAGATGAAGATTTTTCAGCAACGAAATGGTGGTAGAATAGGAAAGGTTGGATGACCAGGTTGCAATCATGGTCATCATTTACACGGGCACTTTGGGAGTTCACAAGTCAATTCTATTTTTTGGGGTTTAATCAGATACATGAACAACTGGAGATAACCAGTCACAATATTGGATTATGCATGGATAGAGCGTGTATAGTAGCAACTGATCTAATTCAGTCTGATAGTTTCTTGAATCCCATGATCCAATTCAGAAATTCTTGGCTGGATTATTTGTCTTTTTGCTACCAACAAAATGGGAGCAACATCACCATATCAAAAGGGGGAACTTGTCTGGTTACTACCTATTTCGGACAAAATCATGCTATGAAATCTCGGTTTTGTCAAGTGTTGCCAACAAAAACGTAGAAATTCCAAGTCCGGAAGCATTGGACTAATCTTAAGCACATCTGCACACACACATTTTTTTTGTGTGTTGTTTCCTCCATTCCCATAGCCACAATTGACACATTGGGTGCCCCACTGGGCACTCATTTTTTACTCTCCAGGGTGAGGCTGGAGGAAAATCGACCAATAAAGGTTGGTTTTCATGGGAGAAACCCTCGATGAATTCATCAACCAGTGGGGGGAGGACATCTAGTCTCTATAGTCCCAGTTGATTAAACATATCCCAATTGATGGTTCTAAAAATTATATCCAATGAGTAATATCTGTGATACGACTTTATATCCCACTTGGTGGTGACATTCCAGTTAAATCCAGCCAATTGATGGTTAAATCCAGCCAGTTATATTCTAATATATAGTACGGTTATTGTTATTGTAAATCCAGCCGGCTGTTGGTGCTGTTGGTGATCCTGTTTCATGCTGGCTGCGCATGGCTGCGCAGCGCACCTGCAAGTCGAGCATCTCCTCGACTGGATCCGACATGGCGCGGCGCTGAGGGGCGCGCGCTGGCGAAAAAGGCGGCTGAGACGTTGGCACGGCTTCAGCAAAAACATGGGGATCGATTTAGCTATCAAACAGTTCGGGCGACTGTTTGATATTGTATTGTAATATATATATTGTTATATGATATATATAATATGATGATATATGATAAGTATTGATAATTGTAAGTAAGCTAATAAAAATGATGAGAGACATGATGACATACAACGCTTTAGATTCAATCGGGAAGGCGTGGCAGCAGAAGCTGCGCGGATATCATATCCAAGATTTTTGTTGCAACAATAACACAATAATACAGTTGGGATGTCCATGCATGCATCAGTCAATTTGGTTATCATGCACTGCAAATGTATAAACATGTATAAACCCTCCTCAATTGCGGATGCGCTGCCTGACTGGGCACAGCACATGATTTTCTTCGGTGGGATTGAAACATTGCCACATTGCTAGTGCTTGGACAGCAAGCTTTTCCCACTTCCACGTCAGTTTCCCAGAGCTTGACTTTATCTGAGGTAGTTCCCCAACGCTTATCCCACTCCAGAACTACCAAGAATGGGCAACTTGAAAGCCGCTTTCCCTGCAAAGTTAACAGCTGAACGTGTGAACAAGGATGGACAGCCGTGGAACCCCCTGAGAACATCAGGTATGATTCCATGTTCAAATCATCCAAGTCATTAGACAAGAAAGTTGTATTAAATCCGTGTTGTTTTTGGAGTTCCCCCATTTTGAGAACCGAGATCATATCACTATGAAATATATTAAACAAAACTCTCCGAGATTCATCATTAAACTCAAGAAACCCACTTAGAGACCATTTTTGGTGTTGAAAACAGTTCCTGCAAGATTTCTCTAAGGGCTGGCAGTACATCGGACAGCCATTGAGTTGGGGATCATCATCCATGGTGACTCAGGGGGGTGCTTAATATCTAGGGGCAAGGGTTTATATTTCCATGATATCGCATTGATTCGCGCCTTCATGGCCATTCTACGATGGTTGGTATTATCTCATTATCCCATTGATTTTCTATACTTTCCCCTGGTATTGCCACCAAATCCCCATTATATTATGGTAAATCCACATTTTTGATATATTATGTAACCCACTTATTCCAATTATATTAGATATCTATCCTACTATATACTATACTATATACCCTCCTCTTGTACTTTTCATGTCTCTCGATGATTCATGATTTTTGATGATATTACACGTTCCAGTTCGCAAACCGTTGAATTGCCAGAGTTCATATCCCCATGAAATCATGGTACATTATCTTTAGCTATGAGATCCCATTATTCCAAAAGATATTCTAAGTACCATATGGTTATTTAACATAGCCATGGAAAATCAACATTTTATTAGGTAAACCATCTATATATATATATATATATATATATCGACCATTTTCCATGGCTATGTTAAATAACCAGAGGGTATTTGGACATCTGGGTGCCAACGTCGGTGCCTACTTCGGAGCCCAGCCTATTGGCATCTCTCGCGCCGGGCTGGAACCGTGGCTGGGAGGCGTGGCCGGAACCGTGGCCTCGGGCCACTGATCAAATGTCGCCCGAGATTGGTGACCAATCCCAGCTAAAATATACAACCTTACGGCCCTATGGATCCTGACTATCTTTGAAAGTGTTTAGAGATGCTTGGGGTATTTTTTGGGGGCTAAGTAGTGCGTCACTGACGGTCCGTTGGGGGATCTTAGCTCATGTTGCTTGCCTATCTTCATGATTGGCGTATCTCTCTCTCCATTGCCATCTCCAGGAGTCTAGCCAAAGGCGCATATATTGGTGCCTACTTTCCAACTGTTCTTGATTTGTTAGCATCAAGGTACGTCCTAAGCCTGTCAATTAAATTCGTGTCAAATTGGTTCAAATGCCCTCTCAAACTTTCAAGCTCATTCGTGTATTCTCCATCTTCTAAACACCAAATCTCATCCCAAAGCCTCCAAACTCCCGTAAAACCATCGTTTCTACCCAGCCCATCCTTGACGGAAAAAAATCCCCACCTCCTCTTCCTCTTCAGCCTCTCCATCCTCTTGGTACCTCGGAGCCAGCCAGTCAATGAGGATGATGATCCCATTTGTATCCAGCCAGCCATTTCTTTGTGGCAACCAACCAGCGATTCTCATGTTCAATGGATTGGTCTCAGGGAACACTTACAAGAAACTGTGGTTTTTACCGGGAAAATCCTAGAAATATGTTGCGCATGTCTGCAGAAGTTTCCCTTTAACCACTGGTGGGGGACACTTTTCAAGCTGATGAATCCAAACTTAGGGATTAGAACATATAAGTTACTGAATGCTGACAATACCTATAAGCCTATACGCTTGTGCGCCAGTTAGTTACCTAAGTCGTTGAACAATCTTGAACATAACTTTCATAACCGGTCGGTTTATGGTAAATACATCGAACTAGTCAATGAAGTCGACAAATCAACAAGCAGAACTGTGAACCACCACCTTGTGTAGATCACCTACAAGTTACTGACTTACCATGCTGACCTGTCTGAATATACCTCCCATATCTTTCCATATTTGAAATCCTCCTAATGCTCACATGGCACACCTGGCAGCCATAGGAACTGCGCCAGATTGGTAGATGACTTACACATTGAATATAGTCATGTTCCACTACCATGTTTGTTCATTACAGGCCATGTCCACTGACCAAACTTTCCTCCTCAGTCTGTCGCTTTGATCAGAAGTTCAACTCTAACGATGGAAAACAAAAAATAGAATCATTGCCCTTGTGCAAGGGAAACAGGGTTGCTCCCAATATGTCAAGACACAAGGGGAAAAATCACTAAAGACATACACTGACCAATTTACCTCTCTCGTGGCTATCATTTGCCATGGATTGGAGCAACCCTGGGGCCTGGTGAGAATCAAGGAATCAACACCCGCGAAGTTTGAGGCGACCATTGTACATGGCTGCCACCACAACATGAGTGAGACCAACCATTCTCCAAAAGCATTCACTATTATTGCACTTACAGATCTAGTTTTGTTAAAAAAACAAGAGCCATAACAATACGGTTAAAATCAACATCCGTAAACATCAACAATCATCAAACATCAAAAAAAACTAATGATTTCTCTCTCTGTCTCCAAACTAATGAATTATATGCATTGCTTCATGTGTTTACAAGAGCATCTGTCGAAACAAACGCCTAGCATCACCTTCCAGGGATCCGGACTGATGCAGGTGCACTCCAAGGCTGTCAGCCTCATCCGACACGGTCCAAAACGGCATCCAACTCGTCAAACGTATCTGTGCATTTATGGTTTTTAATATGCACATATACAGGTTGGAGGAATTGTAGATAGGTTAAGACAAAAGTTATATATTGATGGCTAAGTTAAGTCATAGGTTCTATAAACACATATGTATACCAAATAATAATCTCATAATATATATATATATACATGTTATGATTTGTTGTTCCTGGAAGTTTCAAGGCTGCCGAGCCGAAGTTAACCCAGGTGATCATCCCACTGAGCAGCCGAGCCGAAAAGTTCCAGAAGGGTTCCTGTCGATCAGCTGATGTTGGAATGACCTGATCTTTATCTAAACATTTGTCCGAAGACAGGCAAATCTAACAATCATATGGGGGATCTAAAATCTTAACGATATGGAATATGGGATGATGTTTGGATGATGTTGGGATGATGTTTAGATGATGTTGGGGTGATGTTGGATGATGTTGGGATGATGTTGGGATGATGTTTAGATGATGTTGGGGTGATGTTGGATGATGTTGGGATGATGTTGGGATGATGTTTGGATGATGTTGGGTGATGTTGGATGATGTTGGGATGATGTTGGATGATGTTTGGATGATGTTGGGATGATGTTGGGATGATGCTGGGATGATGTTGGATGATGTTGGGATGATGCTGGGATGATGTTGGATGATGTTGGATGATGTTGGGATGATGTTGGATGATGTTGGATGATGTTGGATGATGTTGGGATGATGTTGGATGATGTTGGATGATGTTGGGATGATGTTGGGATGATGTTGGAATGATGTTGGGATGATGTTGGGATGATGTTGGGATGATGTTGGATGATGTTGGATGATGTTGGGATGATGTTGGGATGATGTTTGGATGATGTTGGGATGATGTTGGGATGATGTTGGATGATGTTGGATGATGTTGGGATGATGTTGGGATGATGTTGGGATGATGTTGGATGATGTTGGATGATGTTGGGATGATGTTGGGATGATGTTGGGGTGATGCTGGTATGATGTTGGATGATGTTGGGATGATGTTGGGATGATGTTGGATGATGTTGGGATGATGTTGGATGATGTTGGATGATGTTGGGATGATGTTGGGATGATGTTGGAATGATGTTGGGATGATGTTGGGATGATGTTGGGATGATGTTGGATGATGTTGGATGATGTTGGGATGATGTTGGGATGATGTTTGGATGATGTTGGGATGATGTTGGGATGATGTTGGATGATGTTGGATAATGTTGGGATGATGTTGGGATGATGTTGGGATGATGTTGGATGATGTTGGATGATGTTGGGATGATGTTTAGATGATGTTGGGGTGATGTTGGGATGATGTTGGGATGATGCTGGGATGATGCTGGGATGATGTTGGATGATGTTGGGATGATGCTGGCATGATGTTGGATGATGTTGGATGATGTTGGGATGATGTTGGGATGATGTTGGGATGATGTTGAATGATGTTGGATGATGTTGGGATGATGTTGGGATGATGTTTGGATGATGTTGGGATGATGTTGGATAATGTTGGGATGATGTTGGGATGATGTTGGGATGGTGTTGGATGATGTTGGATGATGTTGGGATGATGTTGGGATGATGTTTGGATGATGTTGGGATGATGTTGGGATGATGTTGGGATGGTGTTGGGATGATGTTGGGATGATGTTTGGATGATGTTGGGTGATGTTGGGTGATGTTGGGATGATGTTGGGATGATGTTGGGATGATGTTGGGATGATGTTGGGATGATGTTGGGATGTTGTTGGGATGTTGTTGGGATGATGTTGGGATGATGTTGGGATGATGTTGGGATGATGTTGGGATGATGTTGGGTGATGTTGGGATGATGTTGGGATGATGTTGGGATGATGTTGGGATGATGTTGGGATGATGTTGGGATGATGTTGGGATGATGTTGGGATGATGTTGGGATGATGTTGGGATGATGTTGGGATGATGTTGGGATGATGTTGGAATGATGTTGGGATGATGTTGGGATGATGTTGGGATGATGTTGGGATGATGTTGGGATGATGTTGGATGATGTTGGGATGATGTTGGGATGATGTTGGGATGATGTTTGGATGATGTTGGGATGATGTTGGGATGATGTTGGGATGATGTTGGGATGATGTTGGATGATGTTGGATGATGTTGGGATGATGTTGGGATGATGTTTGGATGATGTTGGGATGATGTTGGGATGATGTTGGGATGATGTTGGGATGATGTTGGGATGATGTTGGATGATGTTGGATGATGTTGGATGATGTTGGGTGATGTTAGATGATGTTGGATGATGTTGGGTGATGTTGGGATGATGTTAGATGATGTTGGATAATGTTGGATAATGCTGGATGATGTTGGATAATGTTGGGATGATGTTGGGATGGTGTTGGATGATGTTGGGTGACGTTGGGTTGATGTTAGATGATGTTGGATGATGCTGGATGATGTTGGATAATGCTGGATAATGTTGGATAATGTTGGGATGATGTTGGGATGATGTTGGATGATGTTGGGTGATGTTGGGATGATGTTAAATGATGTTGGATGATGTTGGATGATGTTGGATAATGCTGGATGATGTTGGGTAATGTTGGGAGGATGTTGGATGATGTTGGATGATGTTGGGTGATGTTGGGATGATGTTGGATGATGTTGGATGATGTTGGATGGTGTTGGATGATGTTGGGATGATGTTCGGATGATGTTGGATGATGTTGGGTGGTATTGGGATGATGTTAGATGATGTTGGATGATGTTGGATGATGCTGGATGATGTTGGATGATGTTGGATAATGTTGGATAATGTTGGATGATGTTGGATGATGTTGGATGATGTTGGATGATGTTAGATGATGTTGGGACGATGTTGGGATGATGTTAGATGATGTTGGATAATGTTGGATGATGTTGGATAATACTGGATGATGTTGGATGATGTTGGATGATGTTGGATAATGTTGGATGATGTTGGATCATGTGGGATGGTGTTGGGTGATGTTGGGTGATGTTGGATGATGTTGAATGATGTTGGATGATGTTGGATGATGTTGGATAATGCTGGATGATGTTGGATGATGTTGGATAATGTTGGATGAAGTTGGATGATGTTGGGATGATGTTAGATGATGTTGGATGATGTTGGATGATGTTGGATGATGTTGGATGATGTTGAATGATGTTGGATGATGTTGGATGATGTTGGATAATGCTGGATGATGTTGGATGATGTTGGATGATGTTGGATAATGTTGGATGATGTTGGGATGATGTTAGATGATGTTGGATGATGTTGGATGATGTTGGATGATGTTGGATAATGTTGGATGATGCTGGATGATGTTGGATGATGTTGGATGCTGTTAGATGATGTTTGGATGATGCTGGGATGATGTTGGGATGATGTTGGGATGATGTTGGGATGATGTTGGATGATGTTGGATGATGTTGGGATGATGTTGGGATGATGTTGGGATGATGTTGGGATGATGTTGGGATGATGTTGGATGATGTTGGATGATGGATGTTGGATGATGTTGGATGATGTTGGATAATGTTGGATGAAGTTGGATGATGTTGGATGATGTTGGATGATGTTAGATGATGTTGGATGATGTTGGATGATGTTGGATGATGTTGGATGATGTTGGATGATGTTGGATAATGTTGGATGATGTTGGATAATGCTGGATGATGTTGGGTAATGTTGGGATGATGTTGGATGATGTTGGATGATGTTGGGTGATGTTGGGATGATGTTGGATGATGTTGGATGATGTTGGATGATGTTGGATGATGTTGGATGATGTTGGATAATGTTGGATGATGTTGGATGATGTTGGATGATGTTGGATGATGTTTGATAATGTTGGGATAATGTTGGGTGATGTTGGGATGATGTTGGATAATGTTGGGATGATGTTGGGTGATGTTGGATGATGTTGGATGATGTTGAATGATGTTGGATAATGTTGGGATGATGTTGGATGATGTTGGATGATGTTGGGTGATGTTGGGATGATGTTAGATGATGTTGGATGATGTTGGATGATGTTGGATGATGTTGGATGATATTGGATAATGTTGGATGATGTTGGATGATGATGGATGATGTTGGATGATGTTAGATGATGCTGGATGATGTTGGATAATGTTGGGATGATGTTGGATGATGTTGGATGATGTTGGATGATATTGGGTGATGTTGGATGATGCTGGATGATGTTGGATGATGTTGGATGATGTTGGGATGATGTTGGATGATGTTGGGTGATGTTGGGTGATGTCGGGATGATGTTGGATGATGTTGGACGATGTTGGACGATGTTGGATGATGTTGGGTGATGCTGGGATGATGCTGGATGATGTTGGATGATGTTGGATGATGTTGGATGATGTTGGGATAATGTTGGGTGATGTTGGGATGATGTTGGATAATGTTGGGATGATGTTGGGATGATGTTGGATGATGTTGGGATGATGTTGGATGATGTTGGGATGATGTTCGGATGATGCTGGATTATGTTAGATGATGTCGGGTGATGTTGGATGATGTTGGATGATGTTGGATGATGTTGGATGATGTTGGATGATGTTGGAGTATGTTGCGATGATGCTGGATGATGTTGGGATGATGTTGGGGTGATGTTGGGATGATGTTGGATAATGTTGGGATGATGTTGGATGATGTTGGGATGATGTTGGGATGATGTTGGATGATGTTGGGATGATGTTCGGATGATGCTGGATTATGTTAGATGATGTCGGGTGATGTTGGATGATGTTGCAATGATGTTGGATGATGTGTGATGATGTTGGGTGATGTTGGGATGATGTTGCGATGATGCTGGATCATGTTGGGATGATGTTGGGGTGATGTTGGGATGATGTTGGGACGATGTTGGGATGATGCTGGATGATGTTTGATGATGTCGGGTGATGTTGGATGATGTTGCGATGATGTTGGATGATGTTGGATGATGTTGGATGATGTTGGAGTATGTTGCGATGATGCTGGATGATGTTGGGATGATGTTGGGGTGATGTTGGGATGATGTTGGATAATGTTGGGATGATGTTGGGATGATGTTGGATGATGTTGGGATGATGTTGGATGATGTTGGGATGATGTTCGGATGATGCTGGATTATGTTAGATGATGTCGGGTGATGTTGGATGATGTTGCAATGATGTTGGATGATGTGTGATGATGTTGGGTGATGTTGGGATGATGTTGCGATGATGCTGGATGATGTTGGGATGATGTTGGGGTGATGTTGGGATGATGTTGGGACGATGTTGGGATGATGCTGGATGATGTTTGATGATGTTGGGATGATGTTGGATGATGTTGGATGGTGTTGGGATATGTTGGGATGATATTGGCAAATCCTAGACATATGGAGTTGTCTGAAAATGGGGAAGATCACGGTTTTCAATGGTAAACATTCGCACCAACAATTTTACAGTCTCTGACTTTCTCCTGGACGGACACACCCAATGCAGAATGGGGATAGCAGCTGCTCATCCATTGGAGAATCCCTGGCTGCTAATCAAACACGGCTTGGAAAATCCACCGTTCTGTTCGATGAGTTTCCCAGTTTTCAATCTCCATGAAATTTGATACATCCTATTAAACCCCATGAAATTGCATTACATGAATAATCCCGTTAGTTGAAGTTCATGAAATCACATTGAAGCTCATTAAATACCACAAACTTCGATTCATGTCCATTCAATGTTGATTAAATATCATTACCCTCTGGTAATTTAACAGTTTGCTATTGAAAATCACCCATTTTGTTGGTTGATTTACCTCTTAAAGATGATGGTTTTCCAGTTCGCTTTGTATATGTTTACCTCATGGTTTTATATGTTTTTCCCATTTAGATCCATAGTTGTAATAATTGGCGTGGTAATCCCAATGATAATAGGTTTTGCAATCCCAACAAAAATCCAATATAATAATAGTATATGTATATATAGTTAACAATCCCGTCAATAAGTCCATTAATAACCCCATAATATCCCATTAATAGTAATTAGTAATAATTACTATCATTAAATCCCATTTAGATCTCTATCATCTTCAGCGCCCAACAAATCGCATCCTCCTCCGGCTCGGTGAGCTTCTTGTCCAAGCTGAAGGACAAACCTCAGGCAAGGCTTACAGTAGCTGCAGCGGCCGCCACGGCGATGACGAACACTATAGCCGTAAAAAGAAACAGTAAACATATGTAACACACACACACACTATATATATATATAGTTATAATATATTATAATAATTACGTAGATAGATAGATTGTTGATACTTAAAAAAAATAACACAATGTAACCTTTATCAAAATTATACCATGGCGCACGTCCAATACCAAAACCGATCAGCGGCACCTCCAAGACATAGCTGACCCTGGTGTTCTGGCCTGCAAAAAGGTGGCGATGGTATCATATGGCTGTTTTAAATAGCGGTACAGTATCTATAATGATAACAGCTATAACACAAAATGGATCAAAATGGTGGGTGTATGCCATGAATTTCAAATAATTTCAATTACTGGAAAAATAATATCCCAGTATTCTGTAGATACTCCTGTGAAATCTACATTTTACACCATTTTACATCATTTATCCCCTAATATTAAATACCCCGCCAAACAACCATGGTACAAAGTCGGGGTAATACATAGTTACTTGGGACCATAGCAAGGGGGTGTTTAATATTGGGGGATTGGATTTATACTCATAAATAGCCATTTTCAATAGGGAAAATTGAGGATACTCCAATGGGGGGCTGCCCGATCGACAAACCCAAAGGGGAAACCTTCCGGACAGCATGCTATGCTTCTCCCAGCAATACCATATGGTTCTTCACTGCCATATCACCGGTTTCACCTGTCTTAATAGTTTGTCCCATCAAACGCACTGCGACATAAAACCACACTCTTTATGTAGCGCTGAATTTGATGTTCCTGAACTTAGGCAAGCGGTTGATGGTTTCAATATGTTTCAACACCGACACCTCTTTCTCACGAAGAATTGTCACTTTGGTTCTACTGCGATCATCTTTCCAGGTGCCATTTTTTTGCATCAAAACCAGCAAAGAGATAGGTGGTTGGGTAGCTCTGGCTTCAACTCTCCTTCAAACTTATCACTAGTATAGGCAGTACAGGCTATAACTTTTGAACATTTTGCCATGGAACATTCACTTGCCATTGCCATAGGAGGCTAGCCACAGCAGCTTTTTAGGCAAGCCGAGTGTTGGTTGTACCTGTTTGGTGGTTTCAACCTACCTGACAACTATACTCCGTCATTTGACTTGGCATCATCATCCTAACTTTGACAATTTCATTACAAAAACGTATTGGAAACCAACCGGGTCATCATTTTGGGATGATATATCACCACATAACCAATGATGATCATCCCATTGGTTATATCATCATCATTCCAATAAAACCAACTATAGTTGTCACCCATATATTAGCCATATATCATCATCAGTATAAACAATTGGGATATAATATAACCCCTTATGGATCCACCCGTGCCTTCGGAAGTATTGCTGGGGGACGATTTAGAGGCCATATATCCATGGGGCACCTCTGCATCGGCCGCGCGTCGATGGGCAACAGCCGTGGCCTTAGGGCCCGTGCTCCACTGTCTACAGCATGATGCGCAACGGCAAAATCCTAGCTTTAGCCTCTGGAAAATCCATATTTCAATACAGCAAACTGTGACTTTTTGTCAGGATTCTGTGGAGTCGTGAAACTCTGAGTGGGACTGTGATTCAAATACGTCTGGTGACTGGTGCACCGAAAAAACACCAAACAAGAAAGAATATGCGCCACTATCCAAATCCAAAAATAAGAACCATTAGCTTGTTTTTTCCTAAAACAAGTGAACATTATATAGAACAATCCGTTCAATGTTGAAAAGAAATGGCAAAAACATTCATGCACATGCAATGGTTGGGGTTTGTCTTGGTGTGTCTAAAGTCTGTAGCTAAGGTAAATTCATGTAAAATTGTGAAACATATCAAACATGAAAGTATACTATCGGTATCAGATGGCAAATCGGAACATCAGCAGTCAGCACAAGACACCCCACCCACATGGTAGAATCATCTATACTGTACTGTACCCAAATACTAGACAACACCGTGCTCCGCAGGTATAAGCTGGTTGATAGCCCCCATCATCCATATTACATTTTGCAAAAAAACAACTTAAGTACCAACCTGCATCAACCCTAGTTACACTTGCATACACTTGCTAGGCTGTATCATGATTGTTCCCATTCAAACTCCATTGAACCCCATGAAATGCCCTTAAGCCACCATGAAAAATCACCATGGATCGCCACTCACCATGGATCGCTCGCCTCCACCACCATTGTGCCAGGACCGGGCCGAGTGACTGCGGTTGTGTCTTTTCGGGATCGGAAAACAACTCCGTGTCCTGGCCCCAGGAATCCCCAGGATCGGGCCGTGGAGACGTTTCGACCAACTGTGGGGATGGGGATGGCCGGCAAGAACTGGTATTCATGGTGGGGATATGAGTGATCACTGTTTATCTATCTACCTAAGTCTACCTATCAATCTATTCTAAACATAGATATTGATATCAGTTTCCAAAAATAGTGGGGATTGAATTGATATTGTACTGACGTATAAATTAGTATAAGTGATAAGTGATAAACCTGATATAACATATGTATAACTGATAAACCCTAAACTGATATAAACTTATATACATACCGTGTACAACTGATAGAACCTCAACCAAGAAAACGATTGCGAGTCATGAGGAGACCCCCCGGCAATGGCTGATCATTGACTTCCAACAACTTACTACCATGGTGATTGTTTCGGGGAAAATAGTAGGGAGATAACTGAGATAACCAAAAATATTGGGATATATATATATACATATATATATATTATATTTAAAAAAATATAGTATAAAATATATATTATATTATATTTATGGTAATAATAATATAAATATAATCTCTTCCAATGACCCTTTGGTAATAAAACATGTTTGATTACGAGAGGGTAACCATTCCCATGCATTTCCACTTTATTATTGTTTGGTGGGTAATTATGTAATGATCCATTTTGTTATTTGATGTTAATTTTAGGAATTTACAATAGGCCAACCATTACCTGATCCACTTTATTTTGGCGAGTAGTTTATTGGGGGTGGTTTATGATTGGCCTTGATTTTTGTTGCCTGAAATGAAATGAAACCATTTTAGACCGTTGATCAATGATAGTTGGTGACATCGTAGTAAGGTCGTAAAGAATATATATATCCAGAATATATGCCCAAAACATTATACACAAAAGAACACTTTAGCACATTTTAGTATATATATAATTATGTATGTATATATATATATATATATCATTTTCCTAGTTGTTTCTTTGGGGTGCGCCATGAATCGCTCTGGAACATGCTGAAACCCATGACCAATCTTAGACCCCAGCCTGCTGATCAGGCAGGAAACACAGTGCCACTGCCAGGTTCCCAACCTGCACCTGAGCAGGTTGACACAGCAGAGCTGAGTGAGTTCCGATCATCCTATGCAGGATTTACATGCGTTAATCCCAATTGATTTGTGTTGCCCTATCATCCCTTAGGTACTCCAAAAAAAAGAATTGTCTATAAAAAATGGTCGGTTGATTCCGACCTAAAAAATGGCATAGCGTTTCTGAGTCTACACATATACCCATCCAACGTACAATGCGGACCCTGACTTGGTACTCACTTGCCCCAAATGGACAATCCATCATGAATTTTCTTGTGGCAAATGAAACGATGGTCTTTCTTAAAGTATTCAACTTATCCTGATCCAGAATTTCCTGGTGCAAACCAAGTCCAAGTAAACAACTTGTTTTTGTTTGAAAACATGGTACCTAAACGATGATTTACCTTCTGGATCCTTTCTGGCTATTTAACATAGTATGGACAATTGCCCATTTATACTGCAGATGACTTATGATTACTTAAATGATCATTTTGCATACATTCAATAACCAGAGGGTATCATGATTTTCCCCGTGAACCCCCCGGTGGCGATCGACATCCCATTATGCCCAAAACATATCCCTCTGATATTGCTGGCTCGTCCTTAGTTTTCCAACCAATACCCTCATAAATAACCCCGTTGTTTTCCCTGTAGAATTGCTCTTATCCTCCCAAGTATCCCATGAAATCCCTATCTTCGGTGGGTTTTATCATGGTTTATCCCCAAATATCATCCATATCCCTGCGAAAACATGCAAAATATGCCAACCAAAAAGCATAGGTTTCCCAAAAACCATGGATTTTCCCAGTCCCATTTCCGAATTCCCCAGTTCTCCAGCCTTGAAGGATGCTTTCACCATCGGCCCCTTGGCGTCTTCGCCTTCCAAGACGTCCAGGAAAGCCTGCCGCTGAGTTTTCAAGGGGACTGTGTAATTATAGTTTAAACTCAGTATTTTTGGTGATTCTTTATGATATAATTAAACATATATAACACCTATACATCTATATATCTATCTGTCTGTCTATCTATCTATCTATCCATCCATCTATCTATCTATCTATCTATCTATATATATATATATATGTTTATATGTCTATATATATATATTTATTTATCTCTCTCTCTCTCTCTGTCTCTCTCTCTCTCTCTCTCTCCATCTATATGCATATATCATATATACATACATAGTTTTCATGGGAGAAATTTGGCCCTCGCCTCCTCCTCCTGTGGATCCGTCTCGGCGTTCTCCCCCTGGCGCTGTTGTGTTTTTTTCGGGCATTGGATGGGACCATGATCGTCATATGGTTTTATAGGTAGCATTCTTCTTCCCCAAAAACATGTAATATATGTATATGTGTATATATAAATATTTATACTGTCTATATATATATATATATATGCATGTGTATATATATATATATATATATGCACATCAAAAAAAACAAGAATAACAATCGAACAAATAATGATCGCACACACATATAGATGTATAAATTGTGAGTACCTATTGTGAATACACATGATATTTTTATCTACTTCATCTTTCTCTTTTTTACATACCACCAATGTAGGATATTTTATTCTGTACATGGAGCATGTGATGCTGTGGAAGGAAGAAATCCTGCACCACCAAAAGGATGGTTGAAACCCTACAAATAGTGGGAAAAAACATGGATAAACCACCGTTTTCAACTGGTGCAGGATTTCACAACCATCCACCATATCGTTAAAACCACCTTTCTTCCATTTCATTCATGACTAGGGAGCAATGACCAGCCCAAATCAGGTGACCTCCACCGCCATGGTCTGGTCTCCTGCCGCGACTCCATGGGAGCCAAGTTGGGGCCACCGTGGACATGGGGAGTTCACCATGAAATCTGTTGGATGAATGGGAGATGATGATATCTGGTTGGTGGTTGAGCCCTACCCCTCTGAAAAATGATGGAGTGAAAGTCAGTTGGGATGATGACATTCCCAACTGTTTCTGGAAAGTCATAAAATTCATGTTCTAAACCACCAACCAGATATGATTGTGATGATGTTTTCATATGTTTATTATTCAATAATTCTCTACATGTCCAGTATGAACCAGTTAGATACTCTCCGGATGTTGGAAGGCCGTCCGAGTTTCGGCTCCTGCGGCCGAAGCCAACTCGTCATCGGCCTGCTCAGGGATCAACTGATGAAGGGATGGGTTGGGAAAACGGACGAACAATTAGGATTTCATTGGCTGGAAAACAATTCTAGTAGGGAAAGCTGGAAAAGCCATGATGATTGAACAATGTCTGTGGGATGAAATGGAGTACAGCAATCACCTTACTGGTGGTTTTATACCCTCTGGCAAACGATTACATAACTATGGAAAGATCCACCATTGTTTAATGGGAAAATCAACTATTTCTATGGCCATTTTCAATAGGTATGTTAAATTACCAGAGGGTATTGTTTCCTGTTTCCCGTTCAACCAGCTGAATACTTTGCCTGGTTGGTACAAAGAATAGTATCAATTGACCTGTAGTCAGTTTGGACATGTTTGGGTTTCTTGTCCAGGTCCTTGAACTTATCCTCCGTGCCCAATCCACTTGCCGCACGTCTAAAGCAACAAGTTCTATGTATAGAACAACCCTCAAGCAAATGCATATTGCATCAGAAGTTTCGAAACAGCCCTCTAATTGAAAGAACTATGGTGAACAATTTCCGCATGGATGTCATGTATGTATGGTGTGGTCCCGCTTCATGATCATCGTTTGCCGGCAGGTTGTTTTCAGGCTGTTGTTGTTCACTCGAAATCTTCTCAACATGGTGATGGGGTATGATATATAGAGCATATTTTAATGGATGAACATCCATAAGCAAAACCTGTTTTGATGTAGAGACCAGGGTCTGACCCGGGCAGCCTGTGTAAGTGTATCGAAAGTTCCAGTGTGCCCCCATTTGTGGCAGTGGAACCAGCAGCTGATTGAGTATATGGATGTATACGGATATATGGGTCAAAACTCTTTGGTTACCCTCTGGTAATTTAACATAGCTATTGGAAATGGCCCAGTCGAAATAGTTGATTTTCCCATTAAACATGGTGATTTTCCATAGCTACGTAAACGTTTACCAGAGGGTAACCCAATAAAATTGCTGGGAATGGTGGAGCTTCATCCGATTCATCCGAAAGGCGCCCCCTGGCGCCTGGAAGAGGCTGTACAAATCCTGCCAGAAATGGCCTGGCCCTGTGGCCATCGCCGACCTCAACGCGACGTTGGGATAGTGGGATAGTGGAATCACATGCAGTATTGACACATATCTGACTAGACATTGCGCATATCTGATTACATGCAAATGTGAGTTATATGTACATATACCTATTAAATGTTGTTTTAAAAATTATATGTATACATATATGTGCGTGTGCGCGTGTGTTCCAAGTGTATGTAGGTGTCTTTTATATACAAGAACATGTTTGAAAGGGTTTTCAGCCCAGCTGCTATACAGGCGGAAGACCGAGGAGTTGAATTGGATTCTGCTGGAAACTTCAATGAAAATCATAGGGACAAACCAAATAAACCCTGAAAACAAATTGTAGATTGCCGCTGTCTGATAAAGATTAGGACCAAGCATTTTTCCGCATCTGAAGTGCCTCGGATAGGATCTGTAGTCATCCCCCGTCTTGTCACCATCATTAACCATCATTGATCACCATTAATCACCATTAATCACCATTAACCACCTGGAACCCACCTCACCCAATGTCCGCGGCTCCTATCCACCGTGAAAAAACTGGGTCGCCGCTCTGAAAAAGCAGGGACTGGACCTGGCGGGGAAGCAGGGGATGCATCACACTTAGTAACTGGAGGCATATATATATATATCTATCTATCTATCTATATATACATAGCAGGTCAAATAATACATATATATATGTATAATTATATATATATATAGCCATATTATCCTTTGAAACGCTGGTTTAGTAGAGATGTATACACCTTTGGGACCATTGAAAGTTTTTTTTCTCCATATTAGGAGACTTGTAAGGTGAGGCCTCCTAGATTCGATGCTGGCCTAGAACTTGGTTAACTGGGTGTGATTAGGGGTGGTATAACTATAGTTGATGTTTTTTTCCCGACCAACTTGCAACGCTGGGGCCTCACCTTGTATATATCCCGCAGGGAGATGGAAAAGTAAATCATCACTAAATTACTAAGGATCTTCAGCGTTTTGGAGATTATCTGACATACAGTATGTATATATATATATATACATATCCCCGAAAGCTGAAGTCAGGAATCAGGAGAAATCACCATCCCAAATTATTGATGTGCTTAGCATGTCAAAAACCTAAGGTCAAATAAAATCCTATAATTTCCATTGAAACAATGGCTTAAATGACTCTCCAATCCCGTTAGATTGATGAATAAATCCTGCAAAAATGTGGCATGGAGTGGCGTTAAGTTACAACTTTTAGGGACGTAATTCCCAAGCAATGCCATTAGTAAATACCATTTAGCTGTAGCTAGGACCCCAAGCCATGGGCGGTTGAGGATCTTCCTGGCAAGCGCAACCAGTGATTCAAAGACAGGGAGGCCATGGGTTTTCATGGGTGGCCATGGCTGATGCAACATGACATGGTGATTTTAAATGGGTAAATTGTGATTAAATGGTGATTTAATGGTGATTTAATGGGATTCATTTAGTTGGTTTACCCTTGAACTAGCACACATTGAGGTTATTATAGGTTTTTCGTGGGAATGATATGGGATATCAACGTAGTATGACGGTTAGAATATGTTAGCTAAGTTGGCTTCTTGCATTCACTAGGCAAGCTCCAGGGTTTATGATGGTTTATGATATAATAGACATAGACATATCTCGACTATCTATAGTCTATAGTCACTGGGGGGGGTTAAACCAACTAACTAATAATTGGGGGGGCACACTGTAAATACCTCCCCAATGCGGGTCCCTAAAATGAAAAACACAATGCACATAGCAAGGTTTCTTGAATTTTGAACCGAGAAAATTATAGGGGGAAGGGATTTTCCTGGAAGCAAATGCAGTCCATTGCTGGGTTGGCCCCTATGGATCCCCATTCAACTCCCAGCGGATTCTAGGCCCTGACTCAACTTTTCACGCATGGCACGCAGTCCGTAAGGATTGAGCCGTTCTTTGGCCAAGAGCTGATGATTGGTTGCGAAGATCTCTTGGGCTGGTGGTTTCTATGGTTTCCCATTGAAAAAGTATGAAAAAGTATATATCATCGGGGATCGTACAAAATGATTGACATCACCAACCGCTCACTCCCCAAAACATTTCTTAGAAAAAGCAAAGGACGCGGGCTGAGGTCCGCCAATTTGAGGCAGACTGCATGTCCTCCATACTGATCGTAATAAGCTGAAACTGAACAGCACCGACCCATCGTATATCCAGGATCGCTGCTGCAAAATTGCCAAAAAAACTGTTTCTTTGGCACCTTTTCCTTCCGAATCCGAAAAGAAACACTTAAAGACTTAGGAGTCCGAATCACCCAAGTCTGGAATGATGAAAGTTTTATAGCACCCAAGGTGCTCATGATGTTTGATGAAATGTTCTGAAAATGGGGCCAAAAAAGCAGCAACCACTTGCTTCAAGTGCGGCACTGTACAGCTCGAAGCCAGGCATGTTTTTCAAGCCACCGGTGTCCACTTAAGAAAAACAAACATGACAAATCATCAACTGATGAATCTTCATGTATCATCAGGTGCATTTTTTGTTAGGTCAAGAGTTCAGAATGACTTTCATTCAAACACTTCGCCTGCCACTTCCGGTCTCAGCGCAGGGCCTCCCGGTTGTATGGCCACAACGGGTTGTCATGCCGGGAACCGGTGTAGCTCCTCAGTGCGGCAGGACATACATAGACAGCCTGCAACTACCAAGCGTTACCTTAGCAAAGTTCAAGTCACTTCATTTTGCATATGATATCCCAATAATCATTCGTTCATATGAATCATTAAGTATATGATAATATCTGTCTGGATATGTTTGGTAGCTTGCCCATATTTACGGTCCTCTGCTTGTTCTATATAAATATCACCGATATCACCTATGTACCCCACATACACGTCCCAGAATCCGACATGGAACTCTGGAAACCCCAAAAAATGTATTCACTACCGATAGGAAATTCATCTTCCAATCGGGTTCCAACGGAATATCATAATTTTCCCCAAGAAACAACCATGTGGGAGGATACTTCGATGGGTCAAAGGCCTAGTTAGAGCCACTGATTCAGATGTGAATTGCCACTACAGTAGACATACCTAGTTACAAAGAGATGACAAACCCTTTAGGCCGTGCAAAAATATCAGTACCCATCCCAATTCCCATCAGTTGCTCATAATAATGATCAATACAGTGACATATGTTCACATATGTTCATTTAATGACCCCTATTGCAAAACCATCAACCATAATTTGTCAATGACATCCCTATATGTTTGATAGCTACAGTGACAGTAAACCCCCATAAAACCCTGTCAGTGATTGCTAAATTCTATGAACAATAAAACCTGTCCCATAACATAGCATAACCAATCAACGGGCTTTATTTATCTGATTGGTTTTAAGACAACCCAGAACATCCAACCATCCCAAGTATGCCACCAACCAGTTGTCAATGCCCCAGTCTTTCCAAGCCATGGCCACCAGCCACCCGTGGACCCGTGGCGAATCGCCAGGCGAATCGCCAGGCGTCCGTTCCTCCGCAGGGAGCAGCAGCAGCTCCTGATCGATGTTCTTCCCCAAGATGTCCATGCGATTTCCGGCCTGGAAAAGCACACCGGGAGCTGGGTCAATCTTCGTTAAGTGGGGGGCCATTAGTGGATGATATCGTGAGGATGAGAATGGTGATTTCATGGTGACTTGATGGTATTCCAGTAGTACCGCACAAGGCGGTGGCGGAAGTTTCAAAAATAGGAAACCTATAGGAGAGACTGGTTGTTGTAAGTCAGGGATGGCAGAGCGAAGCCACTGATGGACCGAAA